TGACCGCAGGCCCCAGGCGCGGCCGGGCAGGAGGCCCTGGGCTCCGGGTGGGCTGAAGCCACGCGCAGGGCCAGACACGGCGCTGCAGACCCGCGAGGGCAGCGATGCCTGAGGTCAAGGACACCCCCGACGGTGCCCAGAGAGAGTGAGGGGGCGGGGCGGGGCGGGGCTGCAAGGCGTGGCCTGGGGCCGGCCCCCACCTTCCGGGCCCCCCGGAAGCGCCAAGGCGTCCTGAGGGGGCTGCAGGCGGTCGCTGTCCCTGCACCCGCAGCAGTGCAGGGGGCCGTCCTCCAGTGCCTGCGCCCCGGGGCTGCTCGCTGACCAAGTCTGCAGGGCTCCGGCCACCCTGCCTGGCGCGCCCCAGTTCCCGGACGGGACCCTGAGAGGAGTGCGGGGTGGGGCCCGCTCCCAGGCAGCTGTGTCCTGTGCAGGTGTACGGGGCCGGGAGCAAGCGCACCGTGGCCGTGGGAGACCTGAGCCTGAGCCTGTACGAGGGGCAGATCACGGTGCTGCTGGGCCACAACGGCGCGGGCAAGACCACCACCCTGTCCATGCTCACAGGTGAGGCCAGAGGCGCGGCCCGGGCAGCAGCCGGCCCCGTGCGCCCCCTCCCAGCCCTGCCTGCCCAGCGCAGACCCGGCGAGCCCTGTGAGGCGTGGCTCCAGGCAGCTTGCCCAGCCAGGCCCCCGCCAGGCAGGGTGTGCCGCCGGCCTGACCCGTCCACTGTGGCCCAGGCCTCTTCCCCCCCAGCAGCGGGCGGGCGTACATCAGCGGCTGGGAGATTTCCCAAGACATGGACCAGATCCGGAAGAGCCTGGGCCTGTGCCCGCAGCACGACATCCTGTTTGACAACCTGACGGTGGCCGAGCACCTGTCCTTCTACGCACAGGTGAGGTCGGCGCTCGGCGCTGGGCGTGTCCGCAGTGCGGGCAGTGGGGCGCCGGCCTGGCCGCGCTGACGCTGCCTCTGCTTCAGCTGAAGGGTCTGTCGGCCCAGAAGTGCCCCGAGGAAACCAAGCAGATGCTGGCGGTGCTGGGCCTCGAGGACAAGCGGGATGTCCGCAGCCGGCTCCTGAGCGGGGGCGTGAAGCGCCGGCTGTCCCTCGGCATCGCGCTGGTGGCGGGCTCCAAGGTGGGCCGGGGGCCGGGCCGGGCCGGGCCGGGCCGTGCAGAGCTGCGTCCTCACCACCTTCTGCCCGCAGGTGCTGATGCTGGACGAGCCCACCGCGGGCATGGACGCCGTCTCCAGGAGGGCCATCTGGGACCTCCTGCAGCAGCAGAAGAGGGGCCGCACGGTGCTGCTGACCACCCACTTCATGGACGAGGCAGACCTGCTGGGGGATCGCATCGCCATCATGGCCCAGGGGACGCTGCAGTGCTGCGGGTCGCCACTGTTCCTCAAGCAGAAATACGGTGAGCTGGCTGGTGGCCGGCGCCCGCCGCCTGGCCGGAGGCCCCTGGGCGCTTGCACCGGGGTGGAGGGCCCAGGTCCAGGCGAGGGACACGTGAAGCAAGGGACCAGCAGAACCCGGTAGGGGGACGGCCAGCATGTGCCCTGGCCCCCCAGAGCAGGGGTGTCCTCCAAGGACTGGGGGTGGGGGGAGGGCTGGGCAGGGCTGGGCGGGCAGAGTCTCCGCAGGCGGGAGGGTGGGGACACCCGGCCGGTCAGCTCTGGGTGTGACCAGGCCGGGCTGCCCCCTGCTCACCTCGCACCCCGTGGTGCTGCCGGGAGCCGAGCCGGGGCCCGGGGCCACGTCAGAGGGCCGCGGCCCAACTGGGCGCCCGGTGTCCAGGCGCAGGCTACCACATGACCCTGGTGAAGGAGCCGCACTGCAGCCCCGAGGCCGTGTCCCAGCTGGTCTGCCGCCACATCCCCAACGCCAGGCTGGAGAGCAGCGCGGGCGCGGAGCTGAGCTACGTGCTGCCCAAGGAGAGCACTCCCAGGTGCGGCCAGAGCCGGGCCAGGCCTGGGGCCGCCCTCGCGCCCCGGCCTCGGGCGCCCGGGGCCGGCTGGAGCCACAGGTCTCCCATGTTCCGGGCTGCGCCGACGTCGGGCCAGGCCTGGGGCCGCGTGGGAGGGAGCGGCGGTGGCGTCCGTGCTGGGCGGGGAAGGGCCGTGTCTCCCACGCTCGTCCTTCATGGCTTGCGGCCGCCCACGCTGTGTCGCCACGGTCCGCCGTGGCGTCGGGTGCGGGACGTGCGTCTGAGCCACTTCCCGTGTCGGTCCGTGGTTACCACATCCGGGACTTAGGAGCTCGAGCCAGCCCACGTGAGAGTCCGGAGAGGAGAATCTTCTAGAAAGATTCACTTACGCTCACAAGAGCTGGGGCACAGCCGAGGGGCGGGTGAGAGGGTCCCCCAGAGACGGCGGGGAGCAGAGCAGGTGGATCCGCTGGAACACAGCTGAGGGGCAGCGGGGGTTCGGGAGGGGCCCCCACACCCCGGGCCGGGCCCCTCCCTGGCCGGGGGTCGCACTTGCGCCTCAGGGGCTGCGGGCGGCTTCCTAGTGCTGAGCTGAGCCTGTTGCGCCACCAGGGAGGCCCAGGAGAGCGGACCTGCACATCTGAATTCCCTCAAAGTGACAGGAGAGGGAGGGAGGACGGACGAGGGCTGACGGTCACCAAACTGGCCTCGAGCGATGGCTTTCCGTTTATGGAGGGCTCGGCAGAGGTCAAGTGGGGCAGAGTGTGGCCTGCGGGCGCTCAGGCCGACGTGGGCACCCCAGCCCCTGCTTACACGTGAGCGGAAAACCAGGAGCGAGCGTGCCGGTGGTCACGGAGCCCCGAGTCCCGGCCGCGCACGGAGCCGGCCGCGGCCTGCGCTCGTGGCCTCCCCGGCCGAGTCAGCGTGGGTCTGGTGACACCAGGGGCTGGGATAACGCGTGCTTGTCACCTGTCCTCTAGATGTTTGTGAGAAGAAGGAAGATGTCGAAGAAACAGACGTGCGTTCGCCTGAGAGATGGTGCGTTGACCTTGAGGCGGAGGAGGACGTGGATTTCGTCCCGCCCTCTCCGGAGGCAGGCGTGCCTTCTGCCTCTTCCTCCCCCTTGAGACGCGTCAGGTACGTGACGCGTCACGTGACTCATCGGTTGGGCAGCTGGAGGGACTCAGCCGCGGGGCCGCAGTCCTCGCCGTC